CCGAGGGCCACTAACCCTAGTGGCCTCGATGAGGACTGGAAGCCAGTATCCTGTCCTCATCCCCGTCTTCCTATCCTCTTGCTGTCCTTGCAGAGGACAGGGAGATGACTGTTCCCAGTGAGGCACACAATAGCCGCTCACAGCTGCTGTTTGGTGCGTATACATATCATGCAAGTTGACCTAATGTTCTTCTGGAAAATGAATGTGGAAAATAATTTGTATTCAGGATTTTTTGACCAGAATTCTGATAATAGCAGTGTTTTTGCTAGTGTTAGCAGGTGCATAGAATATTGGGTGGCACTTTGCTTTTTCTGGTGGCAATTGTGTAGGGCCATTGGATCATTGGTTGAGATTAAAACCCCCAGAACTGCTTTGAGTGAGATTTGTAATGGTGCATAAACAGGTAGTTATATATAGCTCTGTACAGTGTGGTAACAGCTAAAAGATTTATTATTGTAATATTGTGGTGCACATTAGTGACATGAATGTGCACTCACTGATGGTTCTACACAGTGTGATATAAATAACATTGGCATCCCAATGCATAAAGAAAAAACTATGGTAAAAACGAAGATACAAAGAAATAACATTTATTGTGCAGTTAAAATTTGGTGCAAAATGTGCAGGGCTAGACTGTATTCACTGGTTATGTGATTTCACAATCACCAGAACTGCTTAGTGATTCTTTATGGTGTATGAACAGTTATATATAATGCTTGTATGCAGTGTATATAGCCTTCCCGGCTTGGTGCCTTCTTTGATAATTACAGTACTTGCTTGTATGCAGTCTGATAGAACAATGTTTTGTAGATTAACAAATAATATTGAGAATATTATTATGAATGTGTCAATGTTCCATACATTTTATTATACTGGAGGAATTTTTAAAATTCTCACTACAGTAGTGCATAATATAACTGGAAAAACCAGTGAAGAAACAAATTCTTATAAATATATAAGGTATCACAAGAGTGACTAGCAAGGCAATTACAGGCACCTGGAATAAATGGTAGAATACTAGAATGGATAAAACAATGGTTAAAATGGTCGTGCTAAGTAGAAATTAACCTGACTGGAAAAAAAGTGGCGAGTGAGATACCACAAGGGTTCATTCTGGTGCCAACCCTTTTTATCATATACAGTACATCAATGACATGGATGAGAATATTACAAACTACATAATCAAATTTGCAGATGCTAAGATTTATGGTAAAATGGGAAGTGAAAGTGATAGGCATTGTGCCCACCTTGTGTTTCTAACGCGCATTGTGTATCTTGTTTCACATTCGCCCAATTTGGTATTTGACTTGCAATTTCATCAGCCTAATCTGTTCTATTACTTTATAATGTAGTTATATTGAATTCAGATTATAATGTACCTTTTATTCATTTGTTGTTAGCTTAAGGACCTGCTCAAGATGCTATGCAGGCTATTGGCTTTGCAAGAATATAACAATCATCAGTGTACTGTCACAACCTGATGTAGTTATATATAAATAAATAAATAAATAAACAACTCCACAAATGGGTCAGACTGGCAAATGTTTCTTTAATCTCATTGTAACTTTTAAAATACTGTACTGAACAATTTAGAGAATATTGATCCAGACACTTCTTCAAAAGGTCAGATGCTATACAAATAACGAGCAATGGTCACAAGCTCAAGTCACAATGTAGGACTGAAAAGCGAGAGATACTTTCACCCATAGGGTTATAAACCCATGGAACTGCCTACCTGCCAAAGCCATAAATGCCAAAATACTGTAGAATTTAAAATCCAGCTTGAAAAAATCAGGACAAATGGTGGGGAAGACCTTTGACACGCCACCAGCTTCCTGTCCTCGTTGAGGCAGCTAATGTGTTAGTTGTCCTTGGGTAAATTTGCAGCAATTTGCCTTGTGCTTAGCCTGGGGTGACCTTCATGGGGCTCCAGCTGTATGAATGCTCATTTATCGGTGATGTCATCGCAAGATTTCGTCCCTCCATCACAGCCAAAATAAGTTACGTAAATTATTTATAATTTTCCCATTGTCAGAGGCAATGGGAAAACAAAATTTTGAAATTTATTTTTAAAGCACATTGGGGGTTTATCAATCTTGTAAATATTGTGTGCAGTTCAGTGATTAAGATAGCCTCCATGTTGTCATGGCAATCTTGAAGATCCTTGCCTCTAACAGAGATGGAATGGAAAAATAATAGTTCGCATTCTCTTGCATTCATCTTCACATTTCTGGCGACTAACTAGAATTTCACGAATACGTAAGTGCAGCTAGATGGTCAGCCTGTTCCTAAAAGTAGATTTCAACATACGTGCCACACTGCTTGGTATGGACTAGACCAGGGTGAGATGCAGCAGGGATAAATAATAACTACCCATCTGCACAAGAAAAAATTTAACATTGATGAACCAACACGTGAAACACATTGGAACACAAATGCGATTGATGTAGCAGCTTCCCAGTAGTGATGGCAGTATTGTACATAGTTCTGTTGTGATAATGAGGACATCTAATGGGGGGGGGGGGGGAAAGCGAGCCAATCACTATCGACTATATAGAAGAAGCCAATGTGGTAGGCAGGGGGAAGGATAGAGAAGATGAACAGCTAGAGGACCGTGTCAAGGTCCTCAAGATCAAGGATTATGTATGTACTTTACCTAAATAAACATTTGAATTTGAAGATTGGGCCCAATTTTCAACAGGAGACCACTGATTAGAAAATTCAATCACATTGGTGCAAAGACCTGCCTTTTCCCTTGCACACTGTGCCCAGATACCTAAATCTACCTACACATCATGGTCCCCTTGAAAGCTGTATGTTGTGCTAGCAAGGAGGAGGAGGGGGGGGGGGGACAAAGCCATCTGCACCCAGCCAAGGATACCACTGGAGCCTCCTTGCCGCATCAATGCAATGCCCATGAGAAGATGGTCATTAGCACTTGCACACTTGTTCTGCAAGCAAGATTGGAGACCAGGTTGAAAAGTACTTAGTGAATTTTAGTTTAGGAAAAGCAGATAATGCAAGACTTTAGTAGCAAATGACTTCTAATCTATTGCTGCTTCTATTGCAGCTACAGTATTTCTTTTGCTCATTTTTTTGGTTTATTGCCTCTTGGTAGATTTTAAGTCTCGGGCTACTGTTCATCCATCAAAATCTCTATCTTGTAGTCCAGCATTTCATTTGTTACTTCCCTTTTTTTTCTAGTTGCTCATTTGCAAACTAAATGACAAGACCATTTTAATTTATGATTGCCGCCCCAGCTCCTGAAAATTTGCAAATTTCTTAATTGCTTAGCCTTTCTTAAATACCTGGTACAGTGTACATAATGGTATGGTTCTGGTGTTAGGTTATTAATATAAGTACTGTACCCATTGTTTTTATGTAATTGTTTCCATACCTTTATCTACCTGCTTCATTATAGTTGCCTCCAGAATCTGTTCATACAGATATTCCCACCACCTTCCACTACAGGTTCACAATAGCCCATGCTGCTTAGAACTTTAGTTCAGAGTAGCTGTATCTAAAACAATAGCAATAATCACCTTGTTTCTTTGTGGCTTCTATAAAATTCTTTCCACAGTCCTCCTCAAAATTGTTTTCTTTTAGGTTCTTCAATCCTGATGTAATGTTCTTGCCTTGCTGGTGTGTGTAGGGCTTTGGCACTTTTATTTGTGTGGGGGGAATGGGTGGTAGGTAATTAGATAGCTACTGGCAACATCCCATATGAAAACAGTTGTTGGCTGGTTGTACTCTTCCTCAAGGACTCATGTTGATATCTTGAGTGATTAGACCAGCAATCCATGTGCGATAATTAGTTGAACTGGGTGCAAGATGCTACTGACAGCATTCTGATGTTAGATCTCTGAAATGCATTTAAGTAAAGACTAATGACAAAGCGAAGAGAAAGATGTAATTGTTACCACACAGGGCTCAATGTTCAAGGTATAAACTATTTGATGGGGTCTAAATATATTTTACCCAAATTTACCCGATGGCCACTAACACACTAGTGACCTCGACGAGGACAGGAAACGACGGCTTGTCAAAGGTCCCTAACATTTTCCCTGATGATCTTTTCCAGTTGGATTTTAAAATTTAATAGCTTTGGCATTTATGGCTTCAGCAGGTAGGCTGTTCCATGGGTTTCTAACTCGAGGAGATGCTTTTTACACCCACATTCTCGGTTCTACATTATGGCTTGTTGGACCGAGAACAGGAGATGCTCTGTACAGGTTAAAACCATGCAGATTCTGAAGTAATTTAAATATGAATATAGGTATTATACTAAAAAAAATAACTTTGTTACTGTGGGAGTTAATCTCACTGGTATCAATTTGTATATATATTCACTTATGAAGGGGAAGGCATATGCTTAATTACATTACATGCTGGTTAAATTTAGAAACTGAGTAAGTCCTCTTCAGTCTCCCCAATAAATTTTTGTAATTGTATTATTTTGAAGTTATGGCATTTTGAAATAAAATATACAGCACTCCCAACCAAAGTAATTACGAGTATCTTGTAAAAAGTCAGTGAATGTATCGTATATTTTTAAGTTTGCTTTCGTTTGTGCATATTATGAAGCATTAATGTATTTTTTTATTTCCGTTTCCTGTAAAGTTATTTTTATAAACTTCATTATTTCTTTAGCCATTCTTGGATTACTAATACTTGTCTGATTTTCCTAGGGAGCAAGTTTTAGGTGTGAGCATTGAGTTTGCAGTCGTCGTGGTTGTTCGTGTGCATTTCTTTGTTTGCTTAATAAATTTTGAATAAGCTTCATGTGGAACTTGTCTGAATGCCTAAAATACTAAATTAAAGTACTGAGCTTGACACATTCGGTATGTTGGATTAACTTTAGAGGAATGTAGCAAAGTTTAACAGAAAACAATATTTGTTGAATGTTGTCTTCTGTAAAACCCCTGGGTCTAGCTGGGCCTGTACCACAAAGTTGAGCCTTGCAGTCTTGCATGGTCGAACCTAGTGGCTATTTATTTCAGGGAGCTGTACCCCTCTTGCCTTCCTCACTGTCTTCCCCTGTGATCCGAGGCCTCTCAAAGGCTTCTCTTGGTGCACCAAAAGCAGCACTCTTGGACGGTAAACAAGCCATCAGCTTGTACTTCCAGGGACGTAGACAGGTGCGTACTCTGCCTGTCTCGCTGTACACAAACATGCACATATATCCCAGCATATTTATCTTTGAGTTCTGGTTTTGCTTCATTATTAAATAGCCTATACACTTTTGTTTTACACTTCGTGGCCAACTAAACTTTCTCCAAATTTATAAAAAATATTGCATATGCTGAAGGCCATTGTACATCAAATCTCTCCTGCACTGCCGCTCATTTTACTAAAGAAAAACAAGTAAATGATAGCAGCCAAGGCACGTTTTGGTAGTACAGTAATTTATTGTCTGTAGTTGGATGAAAAATATATTGGAAAAAAATGCACGTTTTGTGTTTTTAGGACATGTAGATGCCTGTTGTTTAGCCACCTTCCAACATCTTCCAGTATTATAACATTTTAGAAAACTGCAATTCTCAATGTAAAGAGGCAAGGGTTGCAATGAGAAGTAGCCAATTTAATAATAATTGCTAAAATATTCCTCTAATCGGACCTTGTGTGTATTTGAAGGTACAGGGGTTGCATATTCAATGAAGCTGCTAATATGCAAAGCGTATATGGGAATCCTACCCTTTTTCCATAGCCGATGAGTAATTGATATAAATATGGATCAAGTTTCTAGATATGACTAAAGGTTTACATTACCTTGCATGCCTTTCGTTTCCAACCCATGGTTGTCTTGAGTGTTTCATGCTGGGGTTTAGGGCTTGCTTGCCTATAGCTGCCTTAGCCAATTAATAATGTTGGCTGCCAGATGTGATTTTGGCATGTGTGCATATTTTTGTTTATGGCTTTGTATTCTTTGTAACCCTTTAATTTGTATGATATTACTGTATGCTGTGTTATGTACTGTAAGTAATATATGTATATTAGAGCAAATGCTTTATTTTCAAATGGTAATCATTAAATCATCTCTAGTTAGCAAGAAATTTGCTTATTAAGGATGCCATACTACATTAAAAAAAATCATTAGTAAAAATTTTTTTTTAATGTTCTCTGTTTCTTGACAGCTCAATTCTTATTAATTTGAAACATTCTATTTTCAATTCCCAATCATTATCCATTCTTCTATGTACAATAGTGTGTGACCTCGTGTAGACAATTGGTATCTCCGGATAATTAAAAACTATCGTAATTGAATAAAAAAATTTTAATTTAATTAAAGAAAAAAATTCCTTAGTGCTAGTATATTTAAATGTGCAAGTTACAAACACATCCAAAGGTGTTTTATTAGTAGTACATCACTGAATATGTAGGGAACAAAAGGTTTGGTGTTTCAAAATTAAATACTGGAAGCATTCTTCACTGCCGAATCACGCCGAGACTTTACAGCTAGTTAATGAGTTAATCTCCATTAGCTAAACATGTTCTTATTAATAGTGTTGGAAAACAGGAAATTTCTATTTCTGGATAATACAAAATTTCAAAGATCAGTATAATGTAGGTTCCACTATCTGGTATTTTGCCCCTAATTTTTTTTTTCTTTACTTTTCCTTTTGAATATATTTACATTATTTTTCATTATTTGTACACCACTCTAATGCAAGCATAAAGCACACTACTTGTGCTCGACTCGCATCTTGAGCAAAATGTCGTGCAGGGTTCCACATTATCCCTTTATCATTAACACTGTATAAAGACTTGTAGAAAAATTTGGCAAGGCATTTTGTTCCACCATTATGGTCATGCAAGAAAGGGACATGGGATGCAGAGCTCTCTTTCTGCAGATAGTCCTAAAATGCTATTCAATTTATTAGGATCTTATGTCTTTATTGCTTTTTAGATAATTTTCAGCCAGAATTTAAAAAATTTGTTCTTTACATGAACAGTGTGTCAAAGCATTGAGGTAGTTTGTGGCAATTAAATTAAATGTAATCAGTGTGTATATTGATATTTATTATTTTCCCAGGCACTTTACCATCGAGAGATTGCATGTCGAAACAACAACAACAACAACAGTATAACTAGAAATGGGGAACTGGACCCAGAAGTGACGCTTCAGTTTCTCAAGTCGGCCATCTATTACTTTCTCACAGATAAGGACAACTCTAGGGGCCACCTGCGGGCCATAGAGAGTATTCTAGGATATACAGACAGTGAAAGATATAACATTGATAAAGTTGCTAAGTGAAAAGCAAAAATAAATGCAGATAGCAAATTACATTGTATAAACATCACTGATATCAGTGTCTTAAAGCTATTAAATAGTTTAAGTAAGTATATTACTGTGATTAATTATTTAATGTTATAAATTAAATTTTACATCTGAATCTTGTAGCCTGTGATACATGACCAGTATGGGTTTGTGTTGATGGGGCGCTTTGTCACTTGGCTACCTTTTGAGTTCAGACATTTACTCTGCATGTAGAATGTATCGATAATATGGGGCCTTAGAGGTATAGGGTAAGATTTACTACTGTGAATAACTTCCACATGAGTTAATGTAGTTAAAATTCATCATGTGTAATTGTACTATGATTATTACTCTTCCCCATATAAATGAGGATTGTCATCATGGGGACTGCCTACACAACCAGAATAATTTTTCTTGTGTTAAAGGACACAACTAGGGTTTGATTCCTTTATATGAAGCAAGTTGCGTTTGTATTTGATTTCGATTTACTTTTATATGAAGTTGGCACCTATTCACATTGAGCTGGAAGTCTTGCGTTCTTACCGGTTTTGTTCACGCCAATTAAATTCCAGTAGTTCTTTGTGATAAAATGAGTGGCAAGTTATGGCAAACATTGATAAATTCCTATTGGAAAATGGGAATACAATCAGTGGTATATTGCTTCACTCCTCTTCGTGTTACTGTGATTTTTTCTCTGTAAATATGTTATGAGTTTGTACATTTCCTATATATAACATGCTTATAAATTTATATGATTTCTCTGCTATTTCTAAATTTGTATTGGTTACAAGAGCCAACTGTGACTTCATCAGTGTTATGAGGACAAATTGTGGCAAAACACTATTTGTTCTAAAGATCCTCGTGGAAAATAGATATATCTGAAGGGAGAGGCTAAGTCACTGCTCTTCATTCTATTGTAACTGCCATCTCTGTTTATACACACAGGAAGGCAAATTTTTCAAAGTAGGTATCTCTACATGAACGTGGTTAGCAAGAAAAGATAGTGTGCATTTCTTTAATATCTTATACAGTATATGCCCATGTTTTTAGCATGTTTTATAATATGCAAGCAAAGATGTTTAAGGAAATAGGTTTTTCATGTATTTACTTTTTTTCTTTTTACTAATATAACTATAGACAAATGACTGACTACAGTTGTAAATAATTATTTCAAATTTGATTTTACAAAGAATTATTTGATACTATTTCAGATAGACTTACAAATGTAATTTTATTTTCTGTTTAACAAATTGTGAGATCTCCTGATATTAATATTAAATAAGAACTAAATGCTGTCACTATCCATTAGTTTGTGTATAGATAGGCGTAGTAATCTTTCAAGGGGTGGCATCCTTGCAGTGCTTGGTGTACTTGTCAGTACTTTTGTCACCCCTCTCTCTCTCTCTCTCTCTCACTTGATGACTGTACTAACTTTGTCTTATTGCCCACCACTGTCGTTTTGCTCCATCCCGTCTCCTTGCCTCCATCCCTCTTTTCATCCTTCCCCATCCTTCTTCTCTTGCCGCCCCATATCCCTCTTATCCTGTTCTTGTCTTGTCTTTTTGCTCCATATATCCTTCCCTTCTGCTCCTCTATATTCCTTTTTGCTAACTTCCTTCATCCTACCATCTTCTCTTCCTCCTTCCTATATCATTCTTCTCTGCCTTCCCACTCCCCTTATTTTTCTTCCCTTTGCCTTAATTTTTTCACATTCTTGCACCTCGTCAATTTGCCCACCTTTTATCCTCCTATAACCTGCACCCTCTTCCATCCCTCACCCTCCTCCCCTCCCAACTGCATCCCTCTATCCCTAGCCTTGCTTTCTTCCGCTCCCTTCCTCTCTACAAACTACCCTCACTTGCCTCCTTCATCCTCCCCATTTTTTCCCCAGGCCATCAACCTTGACTCTCCTTGAATTCCACCCTTTTCCCATCCCTTCCCTCTTTCAGTAACCCACTCGTCCAACTCTACCACTCTAAACACTTTCCTTCCATCCCCTTCTACATCTTCCCAACCCATCTCTTTCTAGCCCCATCTCCTCAATCCTCCCATCCTTCCCCTTCTCATCTCCTTAATTCTCCCATCCTTCCCCCTGCCCATCTCAATCCTCTCCTTCCCATCTCCTCAATTCTCCCCTCCTTCCCCTTCCCATCTCCTCAGTCCTCCCTCTCCCTCCCATCTCTTAAATCCTCCCCCTCCTTCCCCTTCCCATCTCCCCAATCCTCTCCCCTCCCTCCCTCCCTTTCCCCAATCCTCTCCCCTCCCTCCCTCCCTCCCTTTCCCCAATCCTCTCCCCTCCCTCCCTCCCTTTCCCCAATCCTCTCCCCTCCCTCCCTCCCTCCCTCTTCCCCAATCCTCTCCCCTCCCTCCCTCCCTTTCCCCAATCCTCTCCCCTCCCTCCCTCCCTCCCTTTCCCCAATCCTCTCCCCTCCCTCCCTTTCCCCAATCCTCTCCCCTCCCTCCCTTTCCCCAATCCTCTCCCCTCCCTCCCTTTCCCCAATCCTCTCCCCTCCCTCCCTCCCTTTCCCCATCTCCTCAATCCTCCCCTCCCCTTCCCATCTCCTCAATCCTCCCCTTCTCAATCCTCCCCTACTCATATCCTCAATCCTACCCACCCCTCCCTCCCCTTTCCCATCTCCTCAATCCTCCCCATCTCAACAATCCTCCCCTCCCCATCTCCTCAATCCTCCCCTCCCCATCTCCTCAACCCTCCTCTCCCCTTCCCATCTCCTCAATCCTCCCCTTCTCAATCCTCCCCTTCCCATCTCCTCAATCCTCCCCTTCTCAATCCTCCCCTTCCCATCTCCTCAATCCTCCCCTTCTCAATCCTCCTCTTCCCATCTCCTCAATCCTCCCCTTCCCATCTCCTCAATCCTCCCCTTCTCAATCCTCCCCTTCCCATCTCCTCAATCCTACCCACCCCTCCCTCCTCTTTCCCATCTCCTCAATCCTACTCATATCCTCAATCCTACCCACCCCTCCCTCCCCTTTCCCATCTCCTCAATCCTCCCCATCTCCTCAATCCTCCCCATCTCCTCAATCCTCCCCATCTCCTCAATCCTCCCCATCTCCTCAATCCTCCCCATCTCCTCAATCCTCCCCATCTCCCCAATCCTCCCCTTCCTCCCCTCCCCATCTCCTCAATCCTACCCTCCTCAATCCTCCCCTTCCTCCCCTCCCCATCTCCTCAATCCTACCCTCCTCAATCCTCCCCTTCCTCCCCTCCCCATCTCCTCAATCCTACCCTCCTCAATCCTCCCCTTCCTCCCCTCCCCATCTCCTCAATCCTACCCTCCTCAATCCTCCCCTCCCCATCTCCTCAATCCTACCCTCCCCAATCCTCCCCTCCCCATCTCCTCAATCCTACCCTCCCCAATCCTCCCCTTCCTCCCCTCCATCTCAATCCTACCCTTCTCAATCCTCCCCTACTCATATCCTCAATCCTACCCACCCCTTCCTCCCCTTTCCCATCTCCTCAATCCTCCCCTCCCTCCACTCCCCATTTCAATCCTCCCCTCCCAATCTCCTCAATCCTCCCCTCCCTCCTTTCCCATCTCCTCAATCCTCCCCTCCCCATTTCCTCAATCCTCCCCTCCCTCCCCTCCCCATTTCCTCAATCCTCCCCTCCCTCCCCTCCCCACTTCCTCAATCCTCCCCTCCCTCCCCTTTCCATTTCCTCAATCCTCCCCTCCCTCCCCTCCCCTCCCCATTTCCTCCCCTCCCTCCCCTCCCCATTTCCTCAATCCTCCCCTCCCTCCCCCCTCCCCATTTCCTCAATCCTCCCCTCCCTCCCCTCCCCATTTCCTCAATCCTCCCCTCCCTCCCCTCCCCATTTCCTCAATCCTCCCCTCCCTCCCCTCCCCATTTCCTCAATCCTCCCCTCCCTCCCCTTTCCATCTCCTCAATCCTCGCCCTCCCCTTTCCATCTCCTCAATCCTCGCCCTCCCCTTTCCATCTCCTCAATCCTCCCCCCTCCCCCATCTCCTCAATTCTCCCCCCTCCCCCATCTCCTCAATCCTCCCCCTCCATCTTCTCAATCCTCCCCCCTCCCCCATCTCCTCAATCCTCCCCCCTCCCCCATCTCCTGCCAATCTCCTCAATGTTATTCAGTCTCCCCTTCACTGTCACCTTGACAGTTTCTTAAATATTTCATGACCATATTTAATGTTATACTGATTTAAATGTTGTTAAACATGCCAAAGAACTCTATTTTTTGAGTTTGGTGATTTGTTCCTTAATTTATAAAATATATATTAGTGTATACAAATGAATTAAATGTTGTAATTTGCTTAAACTTAATATATCGTCCAAGAATACACACACACTGTTTGATACTGCAAACTTCAATATTATTTTTTATGCTATCAGTGTCTAGACAATAGACTTCGATGAAAATTTGACACGAGGAATGAGTGCTTCCTATGATGAATTAGATATGCTAAAGCATATTAGTGGAGAATAGTTGCGTGTTGCATCTGCTGTGAATGTGATATAAAGAAATCTATATAATGTTTACTTGTTTAAAGAAGTTCGGTTTAGGATTGAGGGATGGTTTTAGATGTGAAAATACATTTATTCAATTACATAAGTAACTTTATTATCCTTGCTTAGTTTCATCAGTTTCTGAGCATTTACATTTGGAAAAATTCCTTGATACTAATTGAAATACAGGCCTTGGTGCCGAACCATGGAGACAAATTACATAGCTCAGTCCCCTCTAGCGCTAGTTTCGCCTTGTGATGAGGGGGCTTGTGGGCGTTGCCCCGACTCCTCCTCCTGGCCCTCTCCACGATTTGTACTGGTGAAATAGGGGTCCTGTTCAGGTCTGTTAACCACTTACTGGATGGGCCACCCTTGACGACTGGTTAGGTGTCCAGGCTGGGGCCAGAGGGAGGAGGTCTTTGCATCAGTTTAGAAGAATGTATGATGCAGTAGAACTATTCTCCTAAATAATTAGGGTGGGGAGCATCCTTTTAGGAGAACGTATACCACCTTGAACTGGCCAGTGCCTGACCTCCCTTGCTGTCCTAGTAGGTGGCATTCCTAGATTCCAGGGCCCATACTTTTGAAATGATGTTTGCTAATGTGCCTTACTTCACCTCACCCTTCTTGGTTACATGCCTCAGTTAATTTGTATCCATTTCATTTACCTCTGCCTTTGAAAATGTTGACAGTATCGACGAAACGTATCTTCAGGCCAACTAAATCCAGAGTTCTCCATCCCCAAGAGAAAACTCATGTCCCTATAACTTTCAAGGTCAACAACCAGAACATTGAAACGTGTAGGCATCACCTCAGTCTTTCTCATCCCCTCCAACCCCATCCTTAATCCTCCCCTCCTCTGCCCCTCTCCCTTCTCAGAGCCCCCTACCCCCTCCCTCCTCTCCTCTTCCCCTCCCTACCCCCCCTCTCTCTCCCCTCTCTCTCCCCTTTCCCCCCTCTCTCTAGTACATACAATACCAGAAGCCAATATTACGCAGTGTGTTTCGGGCAAGGTGTAAAGAAAAACACTTACGCTAAAACTTGATATTAATTGAGATTAACAGCATAAATTGAATGGACAAAATGGAAACAAAATAGAGAATAATTTCATGATGGCTAGAACAGGAGAAAATGCAACAGAACAGCAGAAGGAATTTTAAGTAAATAGATTACAATTTTTCTTGGTCAATACATAGCAGATAGCAGCAGCTAAAAAGTTGGTCAATAATAGTGTTTGAAAATAGCAAGACATGGTTGAGAATGTAAGATAAGAATTTCATATATACAAGAGTAACAAGAAATCTCGTGTATATATATACAAAAAAATCAATCGTTTAAATCCCCCAATTGTTAGTTATAACTAATAGTTACAATTGATAAAGTATTCTGACTGCTTAGAATAAAACTAAGGTTTCCCTCCGTTTGTCCATAAAGGGACAGAATTTGAACCGTTTTCTCGACGCGTTGCTTGATCTGGGAAGGAGACGCTATTATTAAGTCTTGCCTGCGAGAACGTAGGCAAAGCCCTACGAATATTTCCCCTCTAGTTCAAGTGTGGGGACGCCGAATCTCCCATCATCACCACGTCTTCACTGGCCAATAGGGAAGTGTTCTATACCTGTTTGGCACTTAGTGTACTTGTATAGATCATAATTGTGTATTATGTCAAGTGGTTAGGATGCTGGGTAAGCCTTAATTATTAATAACATCATTCCTTGTCATATGACATAATAAAGTTGTAGTTTATTACTCTTAATTAATTGGCAGGTGACGTGCATGGGGAAGAAGTCATTAGCAGCACTACCTGGTACAACAACACGTGATTCTGCTATAGCCTGACCCTCGTGATGATGCTATATAGCCTGACTCACATGATGATGCTGTAGCCTGACCTACGTGATGATGTTATAGCCTGACCCACGTGAGGATGCTGTAGCCTGACCCACGTGATGATGCTATAGCCTGACCCAAGTGATGATGCTATAGCCTGACCCACGCGATGATGCTATACAGCCTGACCCTCCAGGAGAGTCAGTTTGAGCGGTCTTTCGTGTCCATGTCTGGTTGACCAGGCCACATACAACAGAACAGTTAAGCTGCTCTCTAATTCACTAACCATTAGTCGTAAATTTCTACCAATCGATTAATTTTATATGGTTGGATGGATGTAATTCAACCCCTCTAACTTGTATAGAAAGCTGCTTGTGGGAACATTTATTATCATACAGTCCACTTTAGAATCATACTCCACTATCATACTCTTTCTCTCTCCTCTTCACTCTCGCTCTTTCTCTTTCTCTTCTTCCTTCCTTCCTCCCTGAGGTAGTAGGTACATAGTCTGTAAATAGTGGAAAGTGTCAATAAAGCAGTAGTGTGTGTCAAGAGGACGAGTCAGGAACCACAAGAAGTGCCTCAAAGTAAATACGATCTGTATAGGTCGATAATAAGGTAAACAACTGGGCTAATCAGAGTTAAACTTGCGTATGTGACGCAAGGTGTGGCAACACCTGTTGTCTGTCTGTGAGAGCCTATCTTCACAGTTAACATGAAGTTTGAGTCTCTCTCGACGATGACACGATGTAGGGTTCAGTTCCCGAGCCCATAGTGTTCCTCTGTAACCTTCACCACTACCATCCAGTGAGCGAGCACAATATCCATGAGTAACAT